TCCAAGTCTCCCGTCGAATGAGTTTCGTGGAAAGCCGCCTTATGAAACTCTCTGTCTCGTATTTCGACGAAATATTTGTCTGCTTTATCTAGGATGCCTAGGATTATTTAGGATATATCAGGGGTATTTCGCAACTACAGCGTGATCAACATAGCAATATCTCGATTTCAATATAGCGTATCCCATATAGAAAGAATGGTTTTGCTAGGATATCTAAAAATGTAATTATAGATACAAATTTGAAAATAATTTCGTTAAATCATCAAAATAATTAAAGAGGCTCAAGCTAGAACGTCAAAATTGTTTTCAGCATCGCTTATTATGCCTGAACGTTCTAAAATAATAGTTCCAAAAAATTATTTTCAGGTCTATATCTAGCTAAATTTTTAGATAATTTAAGATTCAAAAAAATCGTTTTTTCGTGCATGGATAAATTAATATAAAAAAATGTCAATAAAAGTATAAACAAAGACAGACGATATCAGGCAAGCTTATTACTATAGGCATGTAGGTTGCACTCACACTAATCTATCATCGATTTTCACGGCTTATATATATAATATTACTCGGTTGATTTCCGGTCTTCCAGTTTTTTACATGTAATAAGGATGCATGCTATTGGCTAATATTAGCGATTCAACTGCTAACAACAAGTTTTAATCATTAAACATTAACTAACATTAGTTTATAAAAAATGTTTCTTTTTATTATTTTAAACCGATGTTTTTATAAAGATTGTTGGATGTTGAAAACAAAACTTGCGTTGCCGCAAGTCAAATTTCTCCAGCACGTCAGGTTTCAAAGATAATTGCAGTTTGTTCAAAAAATGGCTTTTTGGCGATGTTTGACATTTTTTTTTGTAAAAAAAGTTAACGTTATCTTAAAATTCTTATCAAAAGTCATAAATGTATTGTTCATTTCTTATAAAATGCATTTCTTTTTATTTCAACATCTTATACTTATTTATCCATGTTATGAAGGATTAAAGGTAGGAAAACTTCTCATATGACTCTCAGGCATCGTGCACACGCGCGATCGGCGGTGATTTTGTTATTATTTGTTTCTCCTTAGATCATATAACTTTTGTTTGAAAAAAATATTTTCAATGTGTTTTCTTCGAGATATTCGAGATGATGTTAAGATATACATATAACTTATATATAACTTCATTATAGAAAAATTTGTTTTTAAAAAATCCTTTGAATCCTTCATAACATAATTAAAAGGTAAGCTATTAAAATAAAAAAATGCATTGTTTTTATAGGCGATGAATATATTCACTTTTAATCGGAATTTCAAGATAAACTTCTTTACAATAAAAATGTCAAAAAACCATTGGATATTAATTTTCAATTATCTTAAAAACTTGCCGTGCCAAAATGTTTTTTTGCTTGCAGCACCGATTTTAGAATTCAAAAATCTATAAGAAACACCTAATCCGATTTAAAATAATTTTTTGTTGTAAGCGTAATTATTGTTACACTAGTTATATCCTATATATTATGTATGTATATCAACAACTCTTCTTTTTATCTCTTTCTCATAAAATTTAAATTTAATTTGACATCTCAAAAATATAAAGTCAACATCATTTATAAAAATCAAATATTAAGTTAAACATTAATTAATATCCTAAACAAAGTAATAAATAATAATAAGAGAAAACTCTGTCCATTTTTATTTCCTAAAATAAATTCACAAATTTTGTCTTTAGTTCAATCATACAAACTTGTTTCTCTCTTTAAATGTATGTAAATAAGTATTCCGCTTTCTCCATTTCTCATTATTATTAAATGGAAAATTATTAAATTATTAATTATTAATAAATGGTTAAAACACATTAAGATTTTCTTTTACTCCGATTCAATCTGATGAGTTCTATTATAATGTTTTACGCATTCAATTGAAAACTGACACATTGAAATTTAGCAAAGAATTCAAAGGAACGCGCGAGAGAGATATATTTAAAATTAAATATCACTGAAGAGATAAAATAGTTGTGCATAAATTATGGAAGAATAAAGCACAGAATTTTAAAATCCTCTACCGTGTCGATTATATTATAAATAGATAACATCGCGCGAAATATCGACTTGAATTGATAGAACTCGATAAGAAAAATAAAAACTCTAAAACTAAGTTAAATAAATTGTAAGTATAAATAAATCTATTTTAAGTAAACTTGATAAATGTTCATATAGAGAACGATTGCGACTCCTTTTCGATGTTTATCGTGTGTTTAAAAAAATAATAGTATTACGACATAGAAGCTTTATTTGCGACAAAACCTACTCGAGTCACACCGAATGCGTGGCAACCTTGTGTAAAGATAACGCGTTGTATCGCAAATTAAGTTGGCATTACATTTACTTATAAAAATTACGTATAACGACGATGAATTGGCACGCGTAAATACGCACGCGCGTGCTCCTTACTTTTATATTAGTAGTATTTATATATAACAGCAATTACTTAACTTCCACGATTAACAATTCATAAGCGTATCAAGATAGCAGCATTATTTAACGAAGCAAAAATTTCACGTAATTTATATTGTTTGTTGGTTATATTAAACTTGATATGACAAAAAGCAATTTCTATATACTATATTTCTATATACTCGTATTAAAAATATTAGAAATGAATAAATGCTATCAATTATTTTTGATGCTTGATATTAGAAATAATTGACAGCACAATAATTGATAGAGCAATAAGAAAAAGAGCGTTGATTTATATTTAATAAATTTCAAAAAACTGAACGTATTTTTTTTAAACATAATAACTTCGTAAGAGTATAAATCAGCAGTATTTGGCGCTTAATCTTCTGGCTAAATTTTTTTTGCTTTATTAAACTTTTTTTGTTAAATTTTTTCCGATTTTTTTGGAATAAAACGCCTGCACTATAACAGCTTCTTTCTAAACAATCTTTTAGGACGACATTTGGACCATTGCACACCCATTCTATATCTCGTTATTAGAAGAAATGTCTTCGATTGTTTTGATCTGTAGGTATTTGTTTCATCGACAAAACATTCGCATTTTTAATTGCATTCCGCACTGTGCATATATATAGCGGCACAAAACTACAATTAGCTGTAGTCAAAAGATTAAAATTTATAATTGCAACAATGTTCATAGTACTTATAAATAAGAAACTAACTAATGAAAATCAATTAAATGACAAAAATAAATAACATCCCTGATAAAAAAAATTTCATAATATCTTGATCATAATATTTTTAAGACTTTTTCATATTTTAAATTTATAAAAAGTTTTAAAAAATACTTTAAACTTTTTTAGATTTTATAAATTTTATTCGGAAATTATAGAATGAAAAATCTTATAAGAGTTTAAAAAATTCACATATATAAAGAATTCCAGGAAAGCTAAGACTTTCTCGGCATTTCTGAAAAATATTCCAATTAATATAAAAAGTCTGAGGAATTTTCTAAAAAGTATAAAAGTTATAGATGTAAAAATTTTGAAAATTATATAGAAATTCTAAAGAGGTGTACTTTACGTGAAAAATACTAAGAAAAATTTTCGCCAGAAAGTTGATGGGTTGGATTATTAAGTGCAAGAGTTTTTATGAGCGCACGAATTCTACGCGATATTAATCACCATGTTTAATCTTACAATTAGCTTAACCCGGAAATTATTATGACCTTGATGTATTAAATTAAGATTTTCCACTATTAATTAATCTTTGGAATAAAGTACATTATTATCATGTTATATTACATGCTATTAAAATGTTGAAGCGATCATTGTGACGCCCTCGACGTAATAGGCTTAAATCAAAATTTTATTAGAGTTGGCTTAAAAATGGCTTAAAGGATAAAAATATCAGCTTGTATGAGTACAGGATGTAACATGTATAAAATTACAAGAGAGATCCAAATTGTTATAAGATACACAAATTAAATTATATTATAAAATATAGCGAATCCAATGTAATTGAAAAATTAATCGTGGTCTAGTCGGCATTCCGGTTTATACACATATATATCTCTTTTTTTCTTTTTAATCTGGTCATCAGTAATGATCGCTCGTGCCATTAGTCTTTAAATGTCGGCACGACGCGATTACACAGGAGCGTTAAACGCGCGCGCCTCACGTTTAAATGTGCACGCGCGCAGCGAGGAAAAATCACGTAAGGATCATCGACGTTAACGATGCCGATATCTTTATGTAACCACGAGGACGAATGATGTCACGTCTCCAGAGCATATTCACAATAGCTGCGAAATATCGTTGTCTACGTGCAACTGTACAAATTGCCGCCGCCTCTTCTTCTTCTTTGTTATCCCCGTCTCGCTCGCGCTCACGCACGCGCTTATAAAACATTCGCGACTCATCGCGCAGGAATGAATGTTCCGATAAAGAAATAATGCGACGCGAATTCGCACGCAGAGTTACGATAAAGTATGCGGAAGAGGCGATAAGCCGAGAGATGTCTCACTTAAATCGCGACTTGATGTAAACAACATTGCAAACAAATTAGATCCCAGTCTGAAGTCGTTTCCGATATAGAAACTCAATTTCGAATTTTTTTTAATTTTACAATTAGTCTCCAAAACAATTTTAATTTCGTTAATGTTAACACTTATTGATGAAATTATTAAATCCTACAAATTATATTAACAATTTGTAATAATAACTATAACGATAATTATTTAATAATTTCGAATAAATGTTAGCAATAATTTTTACTTTATTCGTTTTGTTATGAAAATAACATATTGCGTCTCTTATGCAAATGAACCGTTTTTATCCGCCGGGTATTATCTGAAGATTAAAGCAAATGCTAATTAAAGGATGCGATTGAGACAGTCTGCTGAATATCAATGCTCAAGGAACGCACGCATCGACAGATTTGGCGGAACGAGTTAGGACGAAAAGGAAGAGCAGGCCGATATCGTCATTCCGTATGGCAGCAATAAAGGTAAAAATAATCATTTGTTAAAAGCTATCGCAGACATGCGTCTATACTTACTCGTTGGCATAGTTCGCTTCACCTTGACGATATCATCCAAGAAGTACACACAAAGACCGCCTGAAATCAAGAGTCAAAGAGGATACCTCAGTAAGCTATTTATAGGGGAAAATCTTAATACATTGAGATTGTAATATAATTTTCGAGTTATAAGCTAAGATTAAACATGGCGATTAATATCGTGTAGAATTTGTGCGTTCATAAAAACTCAAAATCTTGCACTTGTACCGATCCAACTTTTTGGCCAAAATTTTTCTTACAATTAGTATTCTTTATTTAATTGTAAGTAAAGCTGTCTATACAAACAGAAAATCAACAAGGAAACACTGACGTGTCGTAAATTCCGCGTAAATTTTCACAAATATACTAAATTAATAGATATAATAAATTATAACATTATAGATAAAATGCAATACATAGATTGTAAAAAAAAACTCAACGATGTCAATCTTATAGAATAATTCGTATAATTTGTAAATAATATAGAGAAAAAAATAAAGATCAAATACGATGCGTATTTTTTGCAAAAAAAAAACATCAATTTGATGTCAATTTTGGAATAATCACCATGTTTAGTTTTATCTGCAATTTATAAATAATGCACGGAAAAAAATTATTCCAAGATGGACATTGCTAACGTCTTTTTATAAAATATATGTATTGTATTTAATCTACAATTTTATATGTTATACCTATTAACTTAACATGTTTGTAAATAATAAACGGTATTAATAAAACAAATCCGCCATGCTCTTTTTTTAATAAAATGTTACTTATTTTATTACTTATAGGTATATGAACGGATATAAGATTCTCAATTAGACTGCTGTTGGCTAATATTGTTAATACTCGTATACATTATTTTTTCCATGTGCAAATATATATAAATTAAATAATCAACATAAATATAATTAAACATTAATATGAATAAATAATTTAAATATCGATTTTCCAAGACTTTCCGACAATAAAGAGAAAATATGCATATATACAATATGTACTTTTATATATTAATAATGAAAAATCGTTGCAACAAAACCAATCATAGCATAGCTTGTCGGAGTTGGCTGCACTCGCACATGTATACGTAAAAGCGTATACATGTCTAGGCATCGTACAATAATCCGCGATAATCGACCTTTTGCCGAGCGTTTCATGAGGGGTATATCCACGGCACGGCCGCGGCGGCGGCGACGGCAGAGTGAAAATCGACTTGTAGCTGGAAGCTATACGGCAGAACTTTCAAATCGCACCGCTCTACCCGGCCTTCACATTTTCACTAGATGATTTTCACTCGACGGCCGCCGCTCTGTGATTCACTTTCCTCCTCGGGTGGGCGTTTACGTCGACCGAGCGCAAAAAGGCGCAGGAGAGCCGGTCACGAATCCCGTCGTGGGATATCAGACCTCGTTAACAAACGCGATACATGCCGTATATATACATATATCCTGTTAGAGTAGTTAGATCAAACGAAACAAAATTAGTTCCGCGTTAGAGTATCGCGCGGAAACTAATCCAATTCGATAATTCTAAATAAGTAAAAGTTAATTCTTTCGAGACTTTCGTGCCGCGCATCATGGATAACACGAGCGTTATAAATTGAATCGTAATCTCTCGAGAAAAGGAATGAAATTAAAATCGGCTACAAATGCGTGTATGTATATATACACGACATATATAGGTTGAGAATTAATTTCCTCATGCACATTCGAGATAGAAGCTCTCTGCATTACTTTTTCCACGCACTCATTCGTGCACACAATCGGAACGATTAGACGAGGAAACGGATATTGAAGCGAGTAAATAACGCACGCCGCTCATTTGCAATGCCGTATCTCTCGGAGCGACGGCTCTATTTGGCTGTGGAATCGGTTAGAAAGCACTCCCGCACGGGTAGAGAACCGCCGCGCCATGTGTATTAACTCGGTCTTTCCGTGCGGGTCTCTCGGGCTCTACAACATTCCCAATTATCGAGGCTTTCACCCTCGCGCTCACAGGCCGCGCTCGCCTCTAATCGCTCTAAAATCGGTACGCTATTATCGCGCAAGGCGACGTCATGATAGACCACGGGGTGGTCTGATCGTTCCATGCAGGGCTTCGGCGTTACGGTCCATTTAGCTGATCGCGAAACGTTAGAGAGAATCCCCCGATCGCACGCTATAGAAAAGGATAAAGGGAAAAAGGAGCGCGGGGAGATATCGAAAGAGGATGGCGAAGGAGGCGGAGGACAAAGTGGCTACGAGGGCATCGCGTCCGTGAGAGGAAGAGAAAGAGACAGACCTGAATACTACCGCGTGATACCGGATGGAGAGAGAATGCCCGGTGGGGGGCGATCGGGGGGACGATTTGGACAGCGACGGCCCTGAGCCACTTGCCACAGTAGGTCAGCTCTCTTCACCAGCTCGCTTCGCTTCGTTTTTCGAGTCTCCATTATACATACACAAATACGCTGCACATATATACGAGAAGGAGATCCTCCTCTGTCGAGATCTTTCAACGACATGTGCACGATATATATATGCTTTCTTTCGCCCGCCCACCACCCCTTGCCACGCACGTGTTTAACCTGGGCTCCAATTTTCCCACCGCGCGCGCGTTTCGCCACCTGGAATGGGTCCTGTGGATTTTCTTTTATTCTCTTTGCGGAACGGAGATCGCGGATCGACGTGTAAGCTCGGCCAAGAACTCGCAGAAACGATCCACCTCGCAAACACCTATTTTTCTCTCTCTTTCACAGCTGTGAAAATCCGAAATTACATCTGCGCGGGTCTTTTTCCATCTCAGAGACGCTTAAATCAAAACTTGATCGTATTAAAGTCTGCATGAAATTAAATCGGGGGATAAAGAGAAGCGTGCATGTGACGCGAAAGGGACGCGCTCCGTATGCAGGGATTGTTTCGAGGGCAATCTGTGTAATTTCACATGCGTCCCACGTGTCAAGCCCGTATCAGATTACGCATTGGAGATTGAGGATTACGAATTGAAGATTAGAATTTTTGATCAATCAGATAATTTTAGTTTTAATCCGTTTCGTTTCAATTGGTTGAATTCTAATCTCCCCAATTTGTAATCGACAATCTCCAATGTATATGCCTGTCACACTATACACTGTTTGCAGATAGAGAATTGCGAATTGATTATTTAACCAATCAGAACAACGAAAAAATTAAAATTAAAATTACCTGATCAGTTAAATTCTAATCTCCACAATTCGCAATCCTCAATACGTATAGCGTGTATCTTCGCGGGAGGCGACGACAAAGAAAAACGCGACGCCTTTGACGACCTTTTGACAGACGCGAGCGGGCCAATTTTTATCGGCGATTCGCTGACGATACGGTCGGCGCTACGATAACGGGAAAAGTGGGTCGATGTCCAAGAGAAGCGCGGCAAGCTCGGGGGAGTTAAAGTGCGGCGGCTAGCATAATAACTCCTCGGTGAATTAGCAACGGCGAAACGGTGTCATGTCGCAATTTTGTGGAAACAATTCACGCCAGCCTGCTTTGCTCGGCTCAGCCCCCTCCCCGAGGAATGGGTATCGCCCTAATGCGATTAAGCGAGGACCGTAGGTAATGCCCGCTGGTATACCCGCGGTACATTATTATATCAATGTCGAATAAAAGCTCTCGAAAACTTGACGTGCCAGCGACGAACAATTAATCGTCGGAGCAATTAGTATTCATCGGAAATAATTTCTTTTCAGATCCCTTTTCTATATATACAGAACAGAAATACGCCGAATAAAATTTTCAGCTACGGACATTTTGGCGTGAAATATACGTTCATTCCCCCGTATTTCTTCCCTTTTTCTTCGCGAGCGGAATTCGGATTCATAAATCTGCACGTAGGGCCACCACCGCGAGCACATTTTCTCGAGATGTCATTCGGATCGATAATCCACTCTCGACGTCACACGTCGATTCTCTCCTCTTCCTCCTAGGAGGAAGTTCATCCGTCCGCGACGGGAGAGAGAAAGAAAGAGAGAGAGAGAGAGAGGACTTATCGTTAACCTCGATCCTTTCTTGTAGCCACGAGACGTTTAATACCCACTCCCACTCGTCTAACTGTACCACTAGGTCGACCAGGTGCTGCCATCGACGATCGATTAGATAGATGTCGATTGGGGAACTTTGACGTTAGGAGCCACGTGACACAAGAAGGCACCCGAGAAATAAGAGCTTATGCGAGCCAGAGCGGAATATAAGATCAAACTATAAACGAGGAACAAATGTATAGGAATTTGATCTATAATAAGAAGGTATCCATACATAACATAACAGTTACTGAAACATACAAGTCTATTTATAACGCTAGTCTTCTATATTTTTCTAACCAGACGCAAGATTCTTATATAAACCTTACTCATCGTTTTTATCTTTATGTGTTCATTCTTACCTCTCTTATTCCTACATCTCGATATATATATTTGTTATTTATTTTATGTTTATATTTAGATTTTGTATTACACTTCCTGTGTTCTGGTCTTCATTATTTCGACAGTTTCCTCTAAAAAAAAAAAAAGACCTAACGGAACCCGTCTGGTATTACATCACAATGCCAGTTACGTTGATCCGGATGGCAGGTCACGCTCGCGCGAGGCGAACATTCGGCCGAGCGCAAATTTTTAACGGCGTTACATCGATTGTATCACCGAAAACGCGCATCGTTAACATCGGCATCGGCGCGGTGGTTAAAAAAGAGGAGGTGCATAAGGCCAAGTAAGAGTAGTCAAACTGGTTTGCTATAAATCGTCTCTCGATTACAGGAGTCGCGTCGACGTCAATTAAATCAGTATTAAATTGCCCGATTTGTCGTCCGCGAACTAATAATTCGCGGTAACTAATGGTTCTATGGAAATTCTAAAAGATTCCTCACGACGCGCGACGATACGATGATGTATCCCTTATTTTCCAACTCGAAAGAATTGAAAATTAATCATAAACAAATTTTCCTAAATTACGAATTGACAGACATCCTGCAATTAAACCCGAAGCCGTACTTTCCAGATATAGGTATATTCGATACAAATAAAATGTAATAATTCGTATCAATTACTCGTA